AGGCACGAATCATGCATGTACAAGCTTCATCGACCCTACTGATATCAATAGCTTGCACCAGGCAGTCTGCTCAGTTGCTGTGGTATGTCCACAATAGGGATCACCTCTATAGCCGTAACACTACGGCAACCATCGGTCAATACCATCTTCAAGACACGATTCTTAGACCCTCCTGTGCCTGCGGGGAGAACTTCGCATACAGAGAGCCCCTATACGTCTGCCCTAACTGTCACTGGCCTGTCCAATCAATGCATCATCAGTGTCATCACCGAACGGGTCCGAAACGCTGGTCGCGAGCTGATGGAATTTCACCGGTTTAGATACGTCCACAAAGTCCTCGATCATGAGGAAGTGTTTTCCAGGGAGGACCTGTCAATGGGACGTGACACCGTCCCAGCAGTCGATACTATAAATGGGCAGAGTTACGGTACGGAGCGTTACGGCTCACTCTGACGGTTACGCTTTGAGCCCTTCCCTTAATCGTAAACTACTAACGTTACGCGCACTATAACGTAAAGCGTAACGAAGCCCTAACGCTGCCCATGTATAGTCCACACACCTACTCGCTGAGCTCCGAGATCAGGTAAAGAGCCTCGCACGACACAATGAGAGATGTGGCTGCCCATCAGGGAGGCAAAGCCAGCAGCGACCTGCAATGGAGATGGTAGTGGGGGGGGGCACAACTACAACCCACATCGTCTCCAACGCTCAACACCCACTCGGGCTTCGCTGTCAACCCCAACTCCGCCACCCTGGCTGCGAGCATCTCTAGAGGATACACCAACTGAAATAATCGTACGATGGGTGAGGCCACTGACTATGCAGAAGGACGGCGGTGGAGTCCGCTCGTGTTGTCAGGATTCATCTCATCCACGTACGAATGTTGTAAGTACGTGATTGAACGAAAGATCGCCAATTTACGACTCAAAACCACAAAGCCGACCTCTCAGGAAAGATGTTGTTTGTCAATACAAATTTGATGGACATGCGATATAGCTAACAACAATGAGCTGCAGATATCATAGGAATCTATATCTTGCACTGCTCGCCTGAGGAACAAAGGAGAGTCTCTACAATAAATGTAATCTCCCGGTGAACCGAAATTCTTCAGAATTTGTACAGCCGTCAAACCAGGAGTCCCCTACTGCGGATCACCTGTGAATTACCCGCATACAACCATGCCACATGAGACCAATGAGTTTTCTGGTTGAGTTACGTCGAGTCTTCATACCAAATTTCCGCTAACTCCAAGAACGCTTAGCCTACCCGACTTCAGTGAGGAGGCACACCCGTGACGAGAGAAGTCGATCGCCTCATCTGATGTAAACATGACTGCCGAGCGGGAAAAGAAACTTCCAACACGAACTCTATTATTTTAGAGGCATGCCTTTATCTTCTATGTTCTCTATTTCGCTCAAATAGCATCGACCCATTGAGTAGTGTAGGGGAATTTCTAATGAAAGTGTGCTAGAAGTATAAACTAAGGGTTGAAGCGGTCACGCCATACCGTGAGTCCGACAAATCACCATTCGCTCTAAGGGACAAAAACGTATCCGAGGCTGCAAACAAGCTCAACGGTAGCTTAAAGAAGATAATTTATCACGATATCATGGGTCCTTCTTTACCAGTCTGTCTTTGCCTGGCCTTGTCGACTCACAAATGGACCTCCGGTTGGGTTCGTTTATCAACTCCTCCCCTACTGCCCTTGCAGACAGTTCGGCTGCCTCTGATACCTACGATGGTACATCTTTCGTATCACTCGACAGTATTGATTGGAGACACGTGACTAGCACTAAAAAGATATTTTTCATGTCCAGGGATGTTAATACAGTTTCATGACAATGATCGACGATGTTACTACAGTGTGGACAAGTCAAATCGACTCCACTGAACCAATACCCTCAGGTAAGGTAGTCTGGGGTGATAGTCCTCTTAGTCAGGACCCCCCCCTCTCTCTTCGTGTTGGCTAATCGATTCATCACGGCTTCAATGGATGTATCGATCTCCTCTCAGCTGATGCCAAGTCTATCACAAGTATAACTATCCTCTCGCAATGAGGCGTGCTTATACACGCGAAATTGGTATTCGCAGCTCCAAGAGAGTCCGACACAACCCACTACCTCCATTATTAGTCTCGTAAAGCCAGTCACGCAGCATCTAGGCATTGCGAGTGAGTCGAACCACGACTACTGGACGCACCCAGAGGTCAGTCCAGCATCATCATACCCCACCTACTGAAGAGAAACCTCTGTCAACATACTTCTCTGAAAAGGGGGGGGGGGGCGAAAAGTCCCCCGAAACTGCATTGTAGACCCGAAATTATTCATAGCCTACCTTGCTCCCATCCCGTGTTGCGGCACCCAGTCAGTCGGTTCGTATCGGTCTACTAACCTTGCATTGTATCACGCGCTCTGGCGGGTGGGGGATGAAATGTGTCCCATGTTTCTGGAATTCAGAATCGACTCCAACATCGTATTATACGTGTGAGAAGCGATTCTGGATTTCGAAATCGGGTTATTGAACGACCCCGCGGATTAGCAGAGATGCAACGAGCAGGGATTGAACTCGCGACTTCAAATTCGTGAGTTCTAAGGAATCGACAAGAAATCTGAGCCTGAGTATTGATGTAGACTATATTGTAGAGTCACCACTCTGCGTCACCACCCACGATCAATCAGGATCCGCATATGGTCACTGACTATGAGACTGGGCCTTTGCTCGCGTGGTTTCTCCTCAGATTCCCCCAAAGGTAAACCATGAATCGCCAACACAGCCTTCCTTCGTTGGATAGTAGACACTAGCTTCGGTTGAGCGACGCCTAAGATGCTCAATCATACTATCGTACTCTGCGTATACGCTGTTGGAATGTATGTTCGCTTTCCTCAACTGAGCTCCTGAGTTTCCAAAGCTACATTTTACAATTTCACGACGATTTCGGGTAGAAGTGTTCCGAAACCAGCGATAACCTACCGAAATTTCCTTGGAATTCTCATATTGTCACCATCACATGTAGTTGACAATGTACATATCTTCCTACACCGTACTTATAAGTCGAGATCACCGAGAAAACGTTAGTGGTCGCCCTACGCCGATTAGGTACATCGCTTCCACTGGAATTATTGTTATTAGAGTCTAATAACAACAATAATGTCTACATAATACCTACAAGTCTAATAATTAGACTACGATGACTTCCAGCACATGACGAAGAATTAGTAGTAGGTCTTCGTGTCAAAGTCAGACAGCCTCTCTGAGAAAAAAATTGCCGTCATCATGTCAATCGCCCGCTCAGCGATGATTTTATGGAGATTCCTTTGTTTTCATATCTACCTTCGAGGCCCGACGGTAGATCACGGGTGTCAAGTTGGTACGAAATGGTGGGATAAGCCCTGGGTGGTAGATTTTCACACGGGGGTATATAGCAAAGCATGGCGATTCAGAATCTAAAAGTGCTTCTGTCTGGATCGTTCCCTACAGCGAGAAACAGCGAAACTGTTTTCTTGCATGTTATGCCATTTGGCATTTTTTGGCAAGTCTCCTACATTCTCTTAGGAGAGTGTAGGAGGTATATTAACATCTGGGCTTCAGCGCAGTGGTCATTATTTAACATGCGCGATCTACGTCCTGTCACGCTTTATCACAGCACGAAGGTTCACCGGTCCCGCGGCGGGACTCCCGCCCTTCCCCTGGGCAAGGACGAAACGGATTGAACTTCGATGACTTTCAGGATATCCTTTTGGGACTCATGCTCCGTCCGGCACCAGGGATGGGCATTTGCCTCTGGGCTGATCCCGCAGACCCGCAGTCCGGTGGCTTACAATTGACCGCCCCGTCCCGCC